ACATCTAAAAAGTGCAATCAAACACCCCCTAAGACATCATCAGTAGTTTTACATAAATATTATGGTAAATTGTTGAAATCTCTTTGAAATTTTTGACCATTGCTGAAACCTTTCCTGAAGTTTGGTAATTGCAATCACCTCCCTTGAACGTCATGATTTTTCTTTTTTTTATTAAAACAGAAGGGGTTACACAAGACGAGGGCTAGCATGTCCCCAAGCATTACAAAAAGAAGTGAACTCTAAGCCTATCGGAAGCTCATTAATAGATAAATAACGATCACAAATTACTTAATGAGTTAATCAATCTGTCGCTTGATTAGCTTCGCAATAAACATGACAATACCTAACATTATGATTCATCCACATGCCTAGACGATTACACTCTTCAATGATGTTCCTTAATCTCAACAGGAGGGCACCTTTTTGAAGCAGATAGTCGATGACGAGCTTGGAATCACCCTCAATAGTAATAGGTAGATCATGAAAGATGAGAGCAAAATTGTGGGCTTCCCAAGCTACCCATGCTTTGGCAAGGTTAATAGTCATTACGCCAATAGAATATACTTTTATACTCAAGACCCTAGCAATGCATGCTACAGAGCAGAGCCATTTAACCCACAAGAGGCATCAAAATTAATCTTAATACTCTCCTCTTGAGGACTTTTCCACAGAATAGGAAACCATTCTTTATCATGATTATTCACATAAACCTGATCCTCACCCAATCAAGATTTCATATCAATAAGGAAATTAAGAACTCTTTCAATTAGGATAAGAGGGGCATCGGATTATTATTAAAAACTTTTTTGTTTCCATAAAGGAACCACAAGATTACCACATATTTTTCTTCAATTAATGGCAAGCAATAACCATTAAGTTGTTAGAAATTTTAACCCACCACTCCCGAATTGAGTTATCATCAACATTAGGACAATCTCATCATTAGATCCAAGGTCATCCACACTTGTTTGGCATATGAGCATTTAAAAAACAATGTGGTCCAAATTCTCATCCTCACCACAAATGGCACAAAATGTTACAACCCTATGAATAAGAAGATTTTTAGTGGGGAGTTTATTGTTAAGAGCAAGTGATAATAGATCCAAATTCTCAATATGATTTTGATTCACCTCGTTGACAAGAGGGGTACTACCAGTCCAAGCATCAATCATATCCAAAATTTAGCCTTTTTACCATCACAAATGACCCAACAAATACCCCTCTTAATCACATCCCTTGAAGATAGGATACCTCTCCAAGCTCAAGAAATAACCTTTCTAGTAGTGGCTTCCCAAAAAATTTTATCTTTTGAGGTAATTATTTGATACCACCTTCACCCACAAATTTTCTTAGTCAGTCAAAATCTACCAACCAAATTTTGCAAGACAAGCATTGTTATCCATTTAAGATTTTTGATCCCAAGACCATGCCAAATTTTAGGTGTGCAAACATTTCTAGGAATTTTGAAAGGTCTTTTAACAAATTGGGGCATCATGCAAGTAGTAGAATCGACTAGATTTAACTTGCCCGCAAGAGAAAGAGAGAGTTCATTTTCCACCCAACCAGTTTTCTCTCCATCCTCTCGAGATTTTTGAATGTTTCTTGGATACTCTCCATCAATAAGATGAGCACCCAAGTACAAGTCCTTATGGATTCCAAAGAAATTTTTAGAATTCTTGACATAATTTTTGTAAGTCTAGAATGAATGTTCCTTGAAAAATATAGTACCAAATTAGAATAAATAGGGCATTTCCCAGAGGCCTTGGCAAAATTATCCATCTCTTTGATTTTAAGTAATGCATTTACCAAGGTTTTATCAAAGATGATGCAGTCATCTACAAATTGAAGGATTAGAATTGTAGGACCTCCGCGAGACACTTTGCAACCAATAAGTTTTTCCCAAAAATATGTTCTCTTTCAAGCTTCCTAGGGCATTTGCACATATAATAAAAATATACGGTTAGAGAGGATCCCACAGTCTAATGCCTCTAGTAGAAGTAAACTCCTGAGTAGGTGAGCCATTAATCAAAATCTGAAAAGGAATAATATTGGCACATTCCATAACCCATTTTATTTATTAGTAATGGAATCCAAATTTGGTCAGCACTTTCTCAACAAAATCCATTCAATCTTGTCATAAGCCTTTTCCATATCAACTTTACAAGTTAATACACCCGAACATCCTTTCTTTTTCTTGATAGAATAAAACATCTCGTGAGAAATGAGAACCATTACATAGACTGATAGGATGAAAACCATTAACCATTTTAGGGTTATTGGTTTTGGGAATTAATGAAATGAAAGTTTCATTAATCACTCTATTCATTTTTCCAGAATGGAAGAAAACTTTGACTCTTGCAGACAGAATCGCCAATTATAGATCAGAAATTTTGTAAAGAAAAGGGCATTTAAACCATCGGGACCAAGAGCCTTAAGACCAAGAATGATAAGAAGAGTATCAAGAATCTCGTTTTTAGTTACATTTTTAATTAGGTTATCATTGATATCATCTATGATACATTGATTAGTATCATTAATAACTTCATCAAAAGGAAGATTAATAAGGTAGCCATTAGGAAATTCCTGCCTCCAATTATCATTGATTAAAATCTAATATAGTCGTTCCTTAGTAAAAGAATTTTTCCAAGTAAATTGCTTACCCCTCATGTCCAAATCAAAAAGATTACATTAACTAATAAAGCTATTAAACTCACGTGTTTGACTAGGGAGAACACTCCTTCCCCCACTTTTATTAGAGCTATCTCTAAACAAATTAAAATCACCAATAAGGCACACACTCCGTCTATGCTATCAACAATTTCTTTAATCCAATTCCAAGCAACCATCCATTCTTGCTTGTTGGGAGGGGCATAAACAAAAGTGTTAAGCCAATTCAGTGGTCGTTAATAAAAGCATGAATAATCCTATCATTAGATAAAATAACATTTAGAATACATTGTCTTGAGTCCCATAATATCTAGAGACCCCGAGAAAAACCCACAGAGTTAACAACAAAATAACTATCAAAAGGAAGAGACTCAATAATTTTTTTTGCTCGATTAGGATTGACTCTAGTTTCCATAAGAAAATAGACACCCGGTTTATGAGATCTAGTGATTTCAAGTACATGGCATCCTGACTAGTCCCTCTAACGTTCCAAATCACAATCCACATTTCCAACTGGATTTGCAACTGGACCCATATTGTCCTTTTATCTGCAAGATCTGAACCCCTGTTGTATTGATCAGTCAACACTTGATCATCATTAATTTCATTATCTTGGTTGTTCTCCCAAGCTTCATTCTCCTCCATTCCCATATTGCCCCTGAGCTTTATGATATGGTTACAAGTAGACCCCCTCTACTAGAATCCTCTAACAAAAGGCATGGAAATGTCTAAAGTACCCATGCAGTTATTATTGAGGTTGGTTTTTAAAAGAAAAAAAAAACAATCTAAACATCATAAACAAAAAAAAGAGAATTTAAAGTTGCAGCTTTACCTTTAGGTGATTGATATGAAGAGAAAAATTGAAAAATAAATCAATTTCAAAAGAGAGATTGAAAAAGTTTGGGCTAGTGCTTCATAGGAAGAGAAGATTTGGAAAATAAACATTTTGGTCAAAAGTAACTGAATGGGTATTTTAGACATTTTCATGCCTCTTTTTAGAGGATTCTAACAAAGGGGGTCTACTTGCAACTATGTCCAAAAGTTCAAGGGAGGTGATTGGAATTACCAAACCTCAGGGGAAGTTTTAGCAATTTACCCAATGTGTAGTTAGTGTATTATTAAGACATTCTCTCTACACTCCTCTACCATTTTACCTAATGCACCTTCCATTGGGAACCATTCGTATGTCCATTTGAGAATTAGTTCTTTTATCAAAAAAATATCTATAAAAACTCTTGTACATATCATCCTTTTAGAAACAAAACCTCCCTGTCTTTCCCACATTATTTTATTCCAAAAATAAAACAAAAAGTACTAAAAAACTTAAAAGAAGCAAAAAAGCAGAAAAAAAATAAGTGAAATAGACATTAATAGAAAACAGTTTTTGTCTATAATTATATATTTTTATTTTGTGCTACCTTCTTTTATTTTCTACTAATTTATTCTTTCTGTATTTTTACCTATTATTTTATATTTTACTTTTTATCTCTAACTATTTCAAATCAACATTTTGTTTTTTTTTTCTCTTTTAATTATTTTAGTCAAACAGATGTTATGATAAAAAATGTCATTTTACACTTCCATGTAAAAGAACCAGCAATGAGTAAATTGGTTGCAAAAATGAAACCAAAAAGTATGCTCATGACATGACAACCAAAAAAAAGGGTAAACTATATATAGGTGCCCTGTGGGATGAATTGACTTTGCTGCAGTTGGTTTGCCTTTGAAGGAAGAAGATGAATAGTAAAAAAAGAGAATAAAAACATGGACATTTTTGTAATTTTACCACTCATAATAGTGTTAGTTTAGCGGAGTTGGACTTAAATGTATATTTCTGAAACTTCATTTGAGAGTTCAGGCCCTAAAATCCAAAGTACAGGTTACCTAATCTACAATTTACCCAAAACATTATCATATGCAGCTATAGATTTTAGCATTATTACTAAATATTATAATTATACTTATATCACCTATATATTCTTATTTAATATTTGTATCAAATGGGATTTTTGGCATTTGTGCCATTATTTTGTCAAAATAATATAATAACAATAAAATAGAATACAACAACTTGTTTTTATATTGGATATTTTCTTCTCAAATTCCATTTCTGTGGAGCTTGGTATCTAATTTTTGGTATTTATGGATTTATAACAGATCCCACCATCCATTTGATAAGAGGCTCAACTCAAGTAGTAGTCTGTACACCGCACTTGTCCACATATATGAAAGCCATGCAGTCATCAATGAGGAAGAAGTTGACTAAAAGTGACAATTCCATCACTTTGTTAGACGTCCTGTTAATCTCATCCACTTAGAGAGATGATGCGGCCGATCCATGTTTCATGGTTGTCCCTAATTCAAAATCTTCTTGTTTGACAAAGTTCAATAATTTCCATATGCAAGTAAGCTGCATTGCCTTTCGCCCATGTCCTTCCTAATGGAGTCTTCCTCCTTCACGTCAATGGCAGACTAGAAGCATTTCTTTGACAACAAATTACCAGAGAGAGAGAGAGAGGTCAGGTCATGGAGTTGGGTGCAGTGGCCTTTCTACTCGACAACTTGCGCTTGGTGGTGGGAGAAGTAGAGCTGATACGAGGCATTCGCGGTCATGTCATAAATCTCAAAGATGAATTAAAGAGTATTCAAGAAGAGTTAAGCGAAGCATACACAAAGCAAGAGGGCAACAGAAGTTTGAAGACATGGATAAAACAGGTTGGGACTTTAGCTTATGATATCGAAAATGTTTTAGACGAGTACAAGCTTTATGCCACCCCACACTCTCATAAGCTCCCTCGGTTTCTTGGGAACTTGATATCTTTCCATTCCATGGCCAAACAGATAGAAGATATTCGGAAAGAACTCAAGGAAAAAAGAAAAAGATACACAAAGATCATCTCAAGTCAATCCCCAGCTGGTTCTACTACCTCTATTGAAACACGACAGTTTCCCAAAGTGGCTTCCTATCTCTGTGATGAATCTCAGATTGTGGGCTTTGACAAACCAGAACGTCAGCTGATTTCCTTGTTAAAGGAACCAGGACTAACGACTACTGTAATCTCTGTGGCTGGGATGGGCGGTTTGGGGAAGACAACCCTTGTCAGAAAGGTGTACAAATTGTTAAAAGGAACCTTTGAATGCCAGGCTTGGGTCACAGTGGGGCAATCATACAGAAAAACAGAGATCTTAAGACACTTGCTATCCCAATTTTCCCCATCATCAAGTTGGGGAAATGCAGAAGCTGAACAACATTTGATCCTTTCAACAAACTCATTTGAACTAACGGCCAAGGTGAAGGATTATTTGCAGCAAAAAAGGTTCCTGGTTGTTTTTGATGATATTTGGGGCCCAGATATTTGGGAATACTTAAGATGTTTGTTGCCAAATGATGGATGTGGTAGTAGAATAATTGTTACAACGCGTAGAAATGATGTTGCCAATTCTTGTATAGGATCCTGTGGTCATGTCTATAATCTCCAACCCCTATCTCCCAAGGATGCACAGGAGCTCCTGTGCAAGAGGGCCTTCTCATCAACCTTTGCAGAATGCCCTTCAGAACAGAAGGTGTGGGCTGAAAAAACTGTGAGAAGGTGTGAAAGATTGCCTCTTGCAATTGATCAAATAGGTAAACTAGTGCGAAGTAACAAAAGAAAAACCATGTTTGATTGGGGAAAGCTGGATGATACTCTTGGATTTGAGCTAGCAAGTAATGAACATCTTTCATGTATTACCAAACTATTATCTCTTAGTTTCAATAATCTGTCCTCCTACCACTATACCTATTGTCTCTTGTACATTAGTATTTTTCCCAAGGGTTACGCTGTTAGCTGTAGAAGGTTGATTCGGTTATGGATAGCTGAGGGGTTCATAGAACAAACGAGTGGCAGAACATTTGAAGAAGTTGCAGAGGATTACCTCAATTATCTTATCGAGAGGAACTTGGTACATGTCGAGGAGACAGAGATT